GGGGGGGGGGGGATGCCCTGCTGGCGGCCCCGACGTCCCATGTCGGTGGTGCGCTGACTGGCGGGTCTGCGGGCGGCTGGAAGAGTCGGGGGAAGGTCTGGACACCGAGCTCCTGCGGGAAAGCACCGAAGGCGCTCTCAGCTCTCAGGGCAGCTCCTGGGTGCAGTTCCTGGGTGCACCCGCCCCCTCAAGCCACCCGCAGTGAAAGGACCTGCCAGGGCCCGCAGGTAGCAGTCACTGAGACATGGAGTCACCTTCCCACGACCTGGCGGGGATCCCATCACCTGGGCACCAGGAGGGTTACTGAGGCACAGGGCTTGGTCACTTGGCACCTTGAGCGCCCGGACCCTGTGCCAGAGACGCCGTGCTGAGGCCTCGGAGTCTGCAGTCCGAGGCTAACTAGGAACCTGCCGTGAGGGGGAGCCAGGGCGCTGGTGTCTGGGATCCACCCCTGAAGACAGTCCTTGTGCCCAAGCAGGGACTCAACAGAAGCCTCCCTCCGGCGACAGTGTCTGTGAGGATGAGAGACCAGGCAGATACCCAGCTCTGTCTGCGCCCTCACACATGCATCTCAAACACGGTTAAATGGATGAGGGACACCGCAACAGAAGCATGTCACCCCTGTGACACCTGGGGTCAGAGCATGTTCCTTGCAGACCAGGGCCTGCTGTCAGCACAGGGGGAGGCCAGCAAGTGCCCGCAGCTGTCCCAGGGATGAGCCTTTACCCCTCAGACAGTCAGGAGGGAGGCCAGGGTCTCCTAACAGTGAGGGGTCTGACCCCATTCATCCCCCTGAATCACAGCCCTCCCCATCTCTGCCTTGTGAGTGACATCTCACCTTCCCAGGTGCGCCTTGGTGACAGCCTGTGTCCTTCCTCTTCTCAGGGACACCCGACTTGGCACAAACTCTGCCCTCTCAACCCCAGGTGGAGTTACTACCAGGGGAGGAAGGAGCCCAGTCTGACCTCAAAGGAAGTAAGGGGGCAAATCCCTGTGCCCAGGGGCTCTGGTCTGTGGGGACACTTGAGTGACATCTCACCAGCCCATGATGTCCAGGGGAACGGGGAACTTCCCATGCAGGAGGGGACGGAGAGCCCAGGATCTGCGGTTGCTTCCATCTCAGAGGGGCCGATGGTCCCATGGGGGCCTGCCCTACCCTGACAGAGGAACCCACAGGGTCCCTTGGTTGAGTCTCCACGTGGAGCTGCTTCAGCTTCTGGGTCCCGTGGGGAGGCCTAGAGCAGAAAACACACAGGGACACAGATGACTTGGATGCAACACGCCAATGCTGTGATGGGTAAAACGGGGCATTCTGGGCATCAGAGCCCAAGGCAGGCACCCTCTCCTGTAGGCCTCACGGGACCCCCCTCACCAAGACCTACCTTTGAAACCTCAGAGACAGAGAGCTCCACCCGGGTCGACAGTTTTCCTCACACTGGATGGGGAATTCTCTGGACAACCGTCGTTCTCTTCCTGGGCTCACCCTCCCCAGGGATAAAGTCTGGCGGCCTGGGACCCACAGCGACCAGGACCTGGGGCGACTGGAGGTCAGGGCCTGGCCTCTGCCCAGGGCTCAGGGTCAGCTCACATGCTCTGGAGCCTGGTGAGCATCCCTGGTGCAGCCCTGACATTGGCCACAGGTCTCCTTATGCCCTCCCGGGGGCGACATTGGACACAGAGAAAACAGGAAATTAGCGCGGAACCTGGGTTCGGCTGAGGTGGGGCAGAAGCCTGATTTCCATATCACAGGCTTTTCTAGGCCCCTCCCAGGCTTCTGCTCTGTCCCACCTGCTCCCTCTAGGGGCCTAGGGACTCCTGCTCTCTCAGGGGTGTCTGTGCTGCTCCCCACTCCCTGCCTGGCACCACCCGTGGAGAAAGCAGGCTGACCACAGGAAAGTCCCCCCAGGCAGAGGACAGAGGCTGCCCCAATGGTCAGGGAGCCCAAGGACAGGCTCAGCCAACTGACGCAGAGAGGGAGGCTCTCCCTAAAATCATGGCCCTCAAAACCAGGGAACTCATAGCCACCTGACCTCCCACCACAGCCCCTCTTCCCAGGACACACAGGACACTTTCCCCTTCACTGCAGGTCTACTGAGACTCCTGGTCCTGGGTCTCTGGCCCTGGAAGCAGAAGCCAGGTTGGTGACACCCAAAGATAGAGGAGGGCCCCCCTCACCAGTCACCGCCCAGCTTGACCCTTTCTCACCCTCTGTGGCCTTCCTGCTGGGAAGAAACCCAACTTCCCAGAGCATTTGAGAACATGGGGAAGACCCAGTGCCCAGCTGGGTTCCTGTGTCACAAACATAAATAATCCCCAGGTTTGGGGACTCCTGGAACTCTCTTTGTGGTGCTGACAGACCAATGGCCAGGGCACAGCACAAGCCACGGGCGGGGTTAAGTGAGAGGGTCATCCTCTTAGGGAGCAGGGGTCCCCATCAGCCTCGCCAATGAAAGTGCTCTGCAGGTCAGTATAATCAGCTCCCCGCACAGCTTGTCAGATGGAGACTGTGGGGTCCACCAAACACCTGCTGAGTCAGAATCTGCATTTTAACAAGATCTGCAGACCCTCCCTGTGCACAGGGGGTGGGGGGCTTCCCTGTCCCCAGATCACAGGGTCTCCTTCTGGCCGGGCATCCACCTTAGCTGGGCAGCCGCTGAAGCAGCATTTCTAAGGTGTCACCTGCGCGTTGAAATCTCTCGGAAATTCCACAGATCATCCTATGGGCAGCGGGGTGAAAGCCCTGTGACAAGGATTCCCGATGTGGCCCCGGGCTCCTGCTCTGAAGGAGGAGAGAGGGCGGTGTGGAGGCTGCTGGGCACCCCGGGCAGAGCTGTGGGGAGCGCCCTGCACCCCAAGCTTCTGCCTGCCCGGCTGTGGGACGGCAGCAGGTGCTAACCGGCAGAGTTAGACCCAACCTCGGTTCAGCAGCCTCGGTACTTGACTTTGGCTAAGAGAAGACTTCAGAGCCAAGAACTCCAGTCATAAGAGAAAGTTTATTTGGAAAGTCACAGAGGTAGAAGAAATGAGCTGTAGAAAAAGCGGGCTCAGAAAAGTAGTTACAGAAGCAAAGGAAAGGCCTGTGGAGCTCAGGAGGAGAGCCCAGGCCCCCCGACCTTGAGGAAAGAAGGGGGGGAGGGGCCCGGGCCTGCTCCAGAGCAACAGCCACACCTCCTTGAGGGTATTTATCTGCAGGGCTCAGGGGAGGACCCTAATAAAATATTTGCCCAGAGTGCAGGTGTGTCCTTTCAGGGTCGAAGGCCATCAGTCAATGCAGTAGATCCCGATGTCAGCAGTGTCCTTACTTATCTGGTTTTGCTGCTTTTCTGGGCCTGGAGCTGAAACACAACTGAGGCCCAGGTGTATCTGATGTGGTCAGAATCCCATTGTCCCGGGGGCTTAATGCTTAAGGGCTCTTCCCCTTGTCGTCCCCCCTCTAAGGGGGTCGAAACCACATGACTAGCAACATGCCAGAGGAGGCGAGGCTAGGGGCGGGTCTGAACCACATGACCAGTGATGTGAAAGCTGAGGGGTCTAAACCAGGATCACGACCAGGATATGCTAGGGGAGGAAGGTCCCCCTGGGGGCAAGGTCTCAGCCCTAGGTACCCGGGGCTTTCCACTCTGGTGACCTTCTGTACCTGGCCTATCTTCCTGCCCTGCTCACGCCTGTCTAACTGCCCACCACACAAACAAGGGGTCTGTGTGTGTGTACACGGGGAGGCGTCACTGAAAAGAAGGGAGAGCCCTCGGCAGTTACAGGGGACAGAAATGTAGAGGAAAGAAAAGGGGAAGAAGGGTTCAGGTGGGGCAGGAATAAGGGGAGGGAGAGGGAGGCTCCTGGGCACAGACCCCGCCCTGGCCCACGTGACAGGGGAAGTGATCTTTCCCCGGGAGGAGGCTCAGCTCCCAGGGAGGAGGGACAGCAGGTCCCACTCTTCAGAGCAGCAGTGCCTGTGAGCACTTGTGGAATCCAAGCTCTTCTCACAGAGGGAGGGACAGAGCAGGCAGCGGACACCATGGAGTCCCCCTCAGGCCCTGGGCTCAGAGGGCGTGTCCCCTGGGTGGGGCTCCTGCTGGCTGGTGAGAGGGGACAATTACCTGGTGGTGGATGAGAGGGGGGGAGATAGAGGCTGGCTGGGGTCTCCTGGGGAGCACAGGGCTCTAGAGGGGACAGTGGGCTTCTGTTTGGATTTGAGGGGAAAGGACAAGGGAGCAGAGGAGGGTGGGGGAGGGGACTCAGCAACAGGAAAATCTCATGATCTGGAAGTGGTGAGGGGCGGGAAAACCTCAATGGCTGTTCATTTCCCAAATTATTCATCACTGAGAGTTGACTGCTAAAAACTTTTGATAATAACAATTTATCTGAGGAGGCAGAAAATTTAACCAGGGCACTAAACATTGTCCTCACCTCCAACCTCAGAAATGGGCACATACGCCCCAGGAGCTGCAGGCCCCTGGGAGCACTCACTCCTTCACCCCCAGGTCTTTGCAGCCTGTTGCAGGCAGTGGGGGTGCAACAAGGTCAGACAAGCCCCGGCCCCAGGGAGCTCACCTTCTGTGGGGAGGAGACAGACAAGGCAAGATCTACATGTGATGTCAGGGACCCACAAGTGCCATGTAGGGAACAGAGCAGGGACAGAGGGTCTTTAGAGGAGGTGGTCAGCGAAGGTGTCTCCCAGGGACACCCCTGAATGTCAGCAGGGATCTGAGGGCAGTAAGGGGGTGAGCCAGGCAGACACCTGGGAGTTTTCAAAACAGAAAAAATAAGAAGTTCAGATGTGCTGAAGCCATGGTGGCCATGCTGCTGACCTTGACCATGGGAGACACACACACACACACACACACACACACACACCCCAAGGCTGAGAGATGAGACCTGCTCAGGACCCAGGGCCTCATCTCTCCATCTCAACACACAGATCCAAATATTGACCCATTTCTCTTCCCTCCTAGTCTCACTCTTAACCTTCTGGAGCCCGCCCGCCGAGGCCCAACCCAGGGTTGAATCAGTGCCGCCCAATGCTGCCGAAGGGAAGGATGTGCTTCTCCGAGTCCACAGTCTGCCCGGGAGTCTCATAGGCTATGCCTGGTACAAGGGGGAAAGTGAGGACAGCAACCGTAAAATTGCATCATATGTAATAGGCACTCAAATAGTTTCCCACGGACCTGCATACAGCGGTCGAGAGACAATATACCCCAATGGATCCCTGCTGTTCCAGAAGGTCACCCTGAATGACACAGGAAACTACACTGTACTTGCCATAAAGAAAGGTTTTAAGAGTGAGGAAGGAACTGGACAGTTCCATGTGTACGGTGAGTGACTGTTCTCTGACCTCTGACTTCTGACCTCTGACCTCTGGGAGGAGTGAACTCTACTTCACACACAGGACTGACTGCCCTGGACTCTCCTCCGTCTCCCTCTGCATCACGTCCCAGGCTGGGTTTGGGCCTTTAGTGCAGGTTACACACAGTGGACACAAACTTCTTGAGATCAGAGCTCCCTTCCCAGATGCCAGCCCTGCAGACATTCACCACCTCAGAGGGAAGGACCAGTCTCATGGGGGTGACTCAGCAGAGGGAGACCAGTCTCAGTCCACCCCCTAGGCCCCTCCCCATGACCATGACCCTGAGAAAGACCTGCAGGGCTCGGTCAGGGACTGGCTTGAAGGGACCCTGGGATCCTCACAGAGAAGCTCAGCCTAGGAACCCTCCCCAGACCCCTGTCCCAGGGCTCCTGACTCCAGGGACCCTGGGGAGCCTGTGTTAGGCTGCATTTGGCCTCCTAGAAGGGCTGGGTGGGAGCAACACTTTCCTGGCTGCTCTACTGCTCACCAGCCAGGGTTCAACCCCAAGAGCCACATCAGGCCAGGAACAGAGCCTGGTCCTTCACTTAAGACTGCGTAGGGAGAGCACAGATGGACAAGGTCCCTGGATCATTAGCTGACTGCCCTGAGAGACCTAGGAGACTCCAGAGGGAGGTCAGGTCCCAGGAAGGAACAGAGGAGAGAAGATGCTCCTGGCAGCCTCTCGTCCACCAGGGGTCAGCCCAGGGGATCTCTCCCATGGAGGCAAATAATGGTAGTTGCCATTTATTTGGGCAGCTCATCTATACTAAGCTTGAGGTCAAGTATTTAGGGATGTTTTAAGGTTACTTCACAGACATCATGGTAATCCGGAGTCCATTTATCATTTATTCAATTTTTATTCTGGGGAAACTAAGCACAGTGTGACACAGTCATTGAATCAGGGTCATGCCGACCAGGAGCAGCAGATCAAACACAGCAAGGCCCTTGTAGAGCCACAGCCCTGCCTCTCCTCCACCCGGGGGTCTTATCAGGGGTCTGTGCACCCCGAGACCAGCCATTCATTCAGTCCTTTGTTCTTAGCTGTCCAAGGCAGATTTTCTAGTCAGGGAAGTGAAAGCAAGTGGAGAATTGATTTTTTACCTCAAGAACCAAATGACCTGCAGTGACAATCAGAGTCAGTACTGGGAACGCCCAGGCCTCCCCTCAGGTGGCCAGTCCCCACCTCCCTGCCCTGGACTTGAAATCACTTATTTGTTTCCTGATGTGTTGGCGTCACTGCCACTGGATATGAAGGAAAGGGCTTTGTCTTCCCACTCCCCCCTACACCTGCAGCCGGCTCAGGGCCAGCACTCGCATGCTCTTGGGTGAAGGGGGGAAGGAATGATGGTCACTGACTGACTGAATGAATGAATGAATGAATGATTCATAATCTCTTCAGAGACTGGAACCTGCATGCAGAGTAGTAAGAGGTTGTGGCCACACCAGTTCCCTGTCCTTTCAGGGGCTGACACCTTGACCACAGAGCAGGATCCTCTCAGACGGTGAGATCCACCAGCCACTGTCCTTTCTCTTAGACGCTGCCCAATTTGAATGAATTTGACCAAACTCCAGTTCTCTTTCCTGAGTTAGAAAGAAAAGGAAGACCACATGTCAGATACCCGGGTGAGGGTCCTCCCCATCTGCCTGACCATCCATAGAAACTGGCGACAGGGACCTTCTTCCTAACTTTACTAATATAACACGTCTTTCCCCCAGCTTGGTGTCATTCCTCCCTTTATACAACAGAGACACCCAAGGTGCCCTCTGATCACTTCTGTTCTATTAGCAGGACTCACATTCTCTCTCCCCAGGGAGTCAGATTTCAAACCCACTGTAGGTCTTTCTTTGGTCACATGTGACCTGGTTGGGCTGCAGAACTTGGTCTATAACCTGCAGTGCTCTCCAGAGAAGATTCCTCCAGAAACTGGTCTTAGATCTTTGGGGCATGAGTAATGATTTTCACATATTCTTTCACAATTTAACTCAAAATCTATCTCATAGCTGACAAACGTAAATGAGACCAAGGGCAGAGAGCATGGCTCTGCTGCCAAAGCCTGCCAGCTCCCTCCATCCCTCACTCTTTTCTAAATCATTCCTGGACTCTGCTCTATCCTTTCTGGGGTCATTGTCTCATGTCCGTCACCAGTGACCTCCTGGGCACACAGCCCCACCTCATGGCCCTGCAGCCTGGGTACTGAACTGACTGCCAGACTTGCTTCTGGTCTCCCATGTGTTGTTTCTGCTCAGACTCCCAGTTCCAGGCCACGCTGCCCAGTCCTCTCGGGGCTTAAGGACTATGGGATGGCCCATCATTACTCATCTCTAGGATAACCCTGAATGTGAGGCCTCAGCTGTGTGGGTCTGTGTAGCTGGAAGGGACTCAGCACCCGCAACTTCCAGGTGAGGCCCCAAGGTCGGCCAGGCAGTCAGCTGGTCAGTGAGGAACCAGGACAGGCGCCGGGTGGCCTCCGGCTCCCAGTCCTACGTCTTTCCATGAACAAACCCTGATAGTTCCCTGACACCTGAGAAAGTCTGTGCTTCCCCCCAGACATAGAGCAGGTGGCCTTCCATCTCTGAGTGCTCGGGTCCTCATGCTTTTATTTGTCTTGTGATACACAGACCTGCCTTATTCTTTTAAAAATTGGGGTTGGCTGAGGGGTGAGAGGTGTCAGCGCTGACTGAAGCCGCCTTTGGAGGAGTCAAAGGCACCACACAAGGCAATGTTCTCTCTGTTACCTGCACAGCGGTGTTACCCAAACCCCACATCACAAGCAACAACTCCAACCCCGAGGAGCACAAGGACCCTGTCCTGTTAACGTGTGAACCTCAGACTCAGGGCACCACCTACCTGTGGTTCATCAACAGTCAGAGTCTCCCGGACAGCACCAGGCTGCAGCTGTCCAAGGACAACAGGACTCTCACTTTACTCCGTGTCACAAGGAATGACACAGGACCCTATGAGTGTGAAACCCAGAACCCAGTGAGTGTCGGCCGCAGTGACCCATTCACCCTGAATGTTCTCTGTGAGTAACTTCTGTCCCTGCCTGGGCCAGGCTGACCCCAAACCCACATTACCAGAGGCCAGGTTACATCTGTCCCTCTCAGGTCCAAGGACACAGACCCTCACTCTGTACACCCAGGGTGGCCATGACTTCCTGTCCCAGGCAAATCTGGGCAGGCCTCTGGGTTGGGACAAACAAGTTAATGTGTCAAACTTAGGCTCAGTGCACACAGTGGGTTCTGGTTGGGACTTTTAAAAACCAGGTTGGAGGTGGGGTGGGGGTGGGGTTGAAGGGGTAAGTGAGAAGGAAAGGGGGGACATCTATAATACTTTCAACAATAAATGTAAGTTTAAATATATATACTGTGAGGTAGAATTTCAGGATAGCTGAAGCTGGCCCCACACCTTCCGTCTTTCTGCCGTGGCGGGGTAGGTAGAGTTGTTTGGGACAGAGAGGGTTTGGCGCATAACAGCCATTATTTCCAAGGACAGCAGTTCTCATTTATTTTACAGCTGATCTCAGAGTAGAAATACTGGCAGTGATGGTATCTAATCAGAAGGCAGTACACCGAGGAGGTTACAAAAAGCAGGTGCTTCTCTGTATTTCAGTAGCAAAATTAAATAGCAGAGAGATGCATTTGGGCAGAGGTTTCTTATATTACGTGTCTCCCAGTACCTGTTTCATTTATTGCGAGTTGTGAAATATATCTGTCAAAAAGCTGCACACATATGGTGCCAATTGTTCTGTGGTCACAGTTTGAAAATTTTGTGTTTTTCCCCCAGATAAGGAAAAATCATCTATTTTCACACTAGTGTTAAGAAGTCTTTTATAGACCCAGAAAGAGAATTTGGGTGGGGGTTCTGCATAACACTTATATGATTCAAATTGATTGTTTGTGGAATTGAATTGCATCTATAAAAAAAAAACCACAACAAAAAACCCAGGACCTTGTGGCCTTTACACAGGTCAGGGGTTTCCCCTTCCCTCTGATTGCATCATGTGTGGCTTTGTTCTCTTTGCTCCAGATGGCCCGGGCACCCTTCCACTTCCCCTCAGACTCCCATTACCCACCAGGGCAAACCTCAGCCTCTCCTGCCAAGCGGCCTCTAACCCGCCTGCACACTATTCTTGGTTTATCACTGGGAGGCCCCAGCCACCCACACAGGAGCTCTTTGTCCCCAACATCACTGTGAATGATAGTGGATCCTATACCTGCCTGGCCCGTAACAATGTCACTGGCCTCAATAGGACCACAGTCAAGACTGTCACAGTCTCTGGTAAGTGCCCCCTGGACCATCGGCACCAGGCTGTAGGGTGCATATCTGTCTAGTTTTCAGAAAAGAGCCTAGAAGATGTTGTCTCCCATCCTGTGGCCATGGACAAAGCAAACCACAAATTCTTCCCCTGAGCCCTCCCACTACAGCCCTGTAGACTCTCCTCCCCTGGCTGTTCTGATTTCTCATGGGGGAGCAGGGGTCCAGCCTTGGAAAGTGAGGAGGGGGTTCTCTCAGCCCCAGAAAGCCCCATATGGTGGAGGGGGCTTCACAGGGGGAACCTGAGGTCTTCAGGGTCAAGTTGCTTCTTCTGTCACTAATGCCTTCCTTCTGTCACCTCTTTTCTGTTTCCTGCTCTGTAGGCTACAAGGAACTTACAAGGCTTTGAATCAGTCTCAGTTCTTGTTTTCCTAACAGGAGGAGGAAACCACCTCCGAGGAGGGGTGAGCAGGACAGACCCCTGCTCTCTGCTCTGCTCCAGGCCTGACTCTGCTCTATGCCATGTGTGTTGGGACAGGGGTCTGTGCAGAAGGTGCATGGGGGGCCTGTCCTCAATCTGGTCAAATTGTGTCACTCACCAACAGCACAGCCTCCCTCAGGCCAGGCTGCATGGAAATGGGAAGAGAGCAAGCCACAGGGGAGACTCCTCCGACCTGTGTCCTGGCTCTGAAGTCACCAGCGTATAAGATATTCCAAAGAGGCCCAGCCAGGGTGGCTCAGTGGTTGAGCATCAGCCTATGATGCAGAAGATCGCTGTTCGATCTCTGGGTGGGGAACATGCCCCGTTGCAGGCTGGATCCCAGTGCGGGAGGCAGCCTGTCGATGACTCTCTCATCATTGATGTTTCTCTCTCTCTCTCTCTCTCCCTTCCTCTCTCTGAAATCAGTACAGACATTTAAAAAAAAAAAAAAAAAAGGTACTCCAAAGAGGAGGAGTGAACCATGGTGCGTGCCTGACAAATGGGTAGGTTCATCCATGAAGTCCCTTCATGGGACAGAAGGAGCAGTGCCACAAAGTTTGTAGTTTATGGAGGAGGCTAAGAGCACCAGCCTTTTATTAAAACTGTGGCTACTTCTCTCTAGAGATTTCCTTCTCCTTGATATTCAATCTGCAGGCCAGGAAGGGAAAGTCCCCTTCAGACTGAGAAACCCTTTAGATTGAACTTCTCTGGGTCCTAAGTTCATGGAGACTGGCTGGGCTATGTTCTCTTATAAATTATTTAACAAAAACGAAATGCCTTCCCATCTCTGTGTAAAGCTACCATACTAGAGAGGAGGTCTCATCTTTTAGGAAATCACAGGCGACTATAGGAAAGAGCCTCACAAAAGTCAGTGGGTAGAAAATTCCACCTGAAGATGAAGATGCTGGACACATAGGCTAAGAGGTTCCTGGTGCTGATGCTACGGATATCCAGGGAGACAAGTCAGGGGTCATCCCAAGGTAATATAGAGATAAAGGGGTAGATATAGCCCTTTCCTTACAGATTGTCACCTGAACAAAGATACTCATCCTGCAGAGGTCAGGGCCATCCTCTGGTGACCTTCACAGAGCTCACTGTGGACTGTGAGTGGCTGAGATCTCTGAGGAAGGAGCCCACTCTCAGTCAGCCACCTCCTATTTCCCCACAGAGCCCGTGGGAAAGCCCTCCATCCGAGCCAGCAACACCACAGTCACAGCACATAAGGACACTGTAGTCCTGACCTGCCTCACAGATGACACTGGGATCTCCATCAGGTGGTTCTTCAGTAACCAGAGTCTCCTGCTCACAGAGAGGATGAATTTGTCCCGGGACAACAGCATCCTCACCATAGACCCCGTCAGGAGGGAGGACGCTGGGTATTATCAGTGTGAGGTCTTCAACCTTGTCAGTTTCAAGAAAAGTGACCCGCTCAGGCTGGATGTGCAATGTAAGTGACCGCTGCCCTCTCCCATTTGCTCCCTTGCATATTTCGTGGGCAGGGGGAGTGAGATGGATGAAAGCCTTGAGGAGGTGGGAGCCTCCTTCAGAGCCTATAGAGCAAGTGGGTAAGAACCCCAGAATTAGACTAATCTCGTCACTGTCGTTCTATGCCCATGAGCTGTCTCACCTCGGGCAAGACTCACACACCTGAGCCTCAGTTGCCGGGTCTGTAAACTGGAATAAAACAGACAGACCTTAGGACCATTGTTGGGATGTTTATTATGAGGTTAATGAGAATGAAGCCCTTGGAGAGGGTGAACCTCAGCCAGGGCTCAGTCGATGCTGTTGATTATTTAGAATTGTTATTTTTATGAACATTGTTGTCATTAGCTGTAAAGTCAAGCAGAACTTGGTGAAAATGTCCTTGGTCACTTAACAGTTCTGTGACCTCCGGTGATTAAGCACTTCCTGCCCCAGATTCTGTGTGTGCTCAGTGGGGGTGACCCCCGTCACCTCCTCCCTCCTGGGGTGGAAGGATCAGATGGCAGGAAGGGAAAGTATTTCCCACCCTGTGCGGACCACTGAAAACAGCCAGCACATTCTTGTTCCTAATCAGCACTGAGTGACAGGTAGGGCTGCCCTCTGAGACTGTCAGCAGTGACTGAGGAAAGAAACAGGGGGGCAGACGTGAGAGGGAAGAGGAGCTAAGAGGAACATGAGCGGGACGTGGCAGTGGGAGCTGTGGGGACACAGCAGTTAGAGCAAAGCGAGGTTCCCAACGTGCAAAACAGAAACTGGCGCAACCGCCGGCAGCGGGGTGTCCGGGAGACGGTGGACGGCACTCCCAAACCACACAGACTAGGGGACGGTCCCTTCCTCCCTAACCAGGCCTCCCCCCTGCGAGGCCCCCCTTCCTTCCCCTGAATGGACTTGGGCCTTCTCCCCCTTCCCTCTCCTTTCAGCAGAACAAGAGCGCACTTGCTGCTCTGAGGGGGCCATTGCTGGCATCGTGATTGGGGTCCTGGTCGTGGTGGCGATGGGGTCCTCCCTGGGGTGTTTCCTGTACCTGAGGAAGACCAAAAGGTACAACGGCATTTCCTTCACCCTAATCCTGTCCCCTGCCCCAGGCTGGCCCCCAGCTGACCCAGGCCGGGAGGAGGAAGTCCCCACCCTGGGACCCTGGGCTGGCTCTCTGTGGCCTCCGGGCTTCCCCACAGGGCTCCTCACTCACCCCATCCAGCCCCTCCCTCACCACCTGCTGACCAGGGCGGTTCCTCGACAGCTTCCTCACCTATAAATTAGGCACAATTAAGGAACTGTCCCCTCACGGTTGTCCTGGTTCTCTCCACAAACCTGCTGCGGTGCTGGCAGGTGGTCAGTGCTCAGTAAGGCACCTCCTCTTGTTTATCTAAATCCAGCCTCCTGGGTGAGGAGGACCTGCTGCCTCAGGATCTGAAGGTCATCCTGGCCAAAGTCACACAGCTGAGGGTGGAAGAGCCTGGACAGGCTGGGTGGGGTCGAGCCCCCCCCCCCCC